AACCGGGCGAACGATAATAAACGCGACGGAAATGACGACAACCAGTGTTTGTTTTTCTGTTCGCAACACCGTATTTAGGAGGCGTTTTCACAACACTGCCCTATATTAATGCCTGTTAGGTGTGGCCATGCCACTGCACGGCCACACATAACGATGGGAGCTTGGAAATAGCATATTCCTATGATGCCATTTGCCATGATGCCATAGGCCAATGATGGCATTTCAGGACACAAATATATTTACTCGAAAAGAAATGCCCCGCGAAAACAAAATCTTACTCGTTTACTGTTATGTGTTGCTACTAGTTACTCATTTGGGCAATAGTGAGAAGTAAAGGTTAAACTGGACGTGGTTCAGCGACATACGGACCCTGCTGATAAGAGTTTCCAGCAGCCTCTCTCTCTCTCTCTCCTCTCTCCCCACGTCTCTCGCTCTCTCTCGCGCTCTCTCTCTTCTCTCTCTCCTCTCTCTCTCTCTCTCTCTCTCTCTCTCTCTCTCTCTCTCTCTCTCTCTCTCTCTCTCTCGCTCTCGTGCGCTCTCTCTCCCCCTCTCTCTCTAATTCTGTCTGGAGACTGAGACGAAGGCAAACAATATCCCAGCTCTCAGAACATTCCGACACGACTACTTTGTTTTCTGGGAGCAGTTTAATTGGCTTTCCGGGCCTCGAGGGTTAAACGCTCTTTTTTTCGGCGGACTTCTTCCCGATTATCATTTTTCCAGACGCCCGCCTCGGGGTTATGAATATTGCCGGGCCAGGAAGTCCCTGGGGGCAGAGCCTGTTAGCTGGGGATATTGTATGACGCCCTCCGAATAAACAGTGAACGGGCCGTCGTGCGAGTGCCTGCACGCCTGCATCCCTATCTGCTTTACCGCCTGCCTGCCTGTCTGCCTGCCTGCTTTTCTTTACCGCCTGCAATGCCTGCTTGCCTGTCTGCCTGCCTGTCTGCCTGCCTGCTTTTCTTTACCGCCTGCAATGCCTGCTTGCCTGCCTGCCTGCTTTTCTTTACCGCGCTGCAATGCCTCGCTTGCCTGCCTGCTGTCTGCCTGCTGTTCATTTACCGTCTGCATGCCTGCTGACCTGCCTGCCTGTCTGCCTGCCTCTTTTCTTTACCGCTGCCAATGCCTGCCTGTCTGCTGCTCTGCCTGCTGCTTTTCGTTTACGCTGCAAATGCCTGCTTGCCTGCCTGCCTGTCTGCCTGCCTGCTTTTCTTGTCACGCCGCCTGCAGATGCCTGCTTGCCTGCCTCGCCTGTCTTGCGCTGCCTTGCTTTGTCTTTACCGCCTGCAACTGCTGCCCTACCAGCCTGCCTGCCTGTCCGCCTGCCTGCTTTTCTTTACCGCCTTGCATGGGCCTGACCTACCCAGGCCTGCCTGCCTGCTGTTTCTTTACCACACTTGCAATGCTGCCCTCTTCCAGCTGCTGCCTGCCTGCCTTTTTCGTTACCTCTGCCTGCCACTCTTTGTTACCTGCACTGCGCCTACCAGCCGCCTGCCTGCCCTGCTTTTCTTTACCGCCTGCAATGCCTGCCCTACAAGCCTGCCTGCTTTTCTTTACCGCCTGCAATGCCTGCCTGCCTGCCTGCCTGCCTGCCTGCTTTTCTTTACCGCCTGCAATGCCTGCCTACCAGCCTGCCTGCCTGCCTGCCTGCCTGCCTGCCTGCCTGCCTACCAGCCTGCCTGCCTGCCTACCAGCTTGCCTGACTCTCTCCCACCACCGCCTACGCACGTTACTCTCAGTTACGCGATGGGAGGGAAATAGCCGCTTATTTTGCATAGACCAGCTGCCGCTGTGCTGCATTTATCTTCTCCTCTACTTCCGTCAGAAAACACCGCATCGCGGAGCACGATTCTGAAATGGCTTCTCATTATTCGGCGGGGAGTCTGCCGCTGGGATGCGTCACCATGGAGACGAGTTTTTGCCGTGTGTTTTACCGCGTTCTATAAGCACCTCTTACGCTCGGCACGGCGTCTACCGTATATCATTACATCTGGCAAAACAATTAAATAGCTGTTGAGATACACACGCACACGCTCACACGCACGCACACACGCGCACACGCACACGCACACGCACGCACACAATCACGACCGCCCGCACGCACGCACGCATGCACGGCCGCACACACGCACGCACACAATCACGCACGCCCGCACGCATAACCGTCAGCGCGCACGCACGCATGCACGCATGCACGCACGCACGCAGACACAGGCTCTATACGCACAAAGACAAGGGGTGTTGCTATCCCCCGGGCGTGGAGGGAGGGTCACGTGATACAGTTGACGTATACTTCAAAATCATTACTCATCCGGTAACGCTAACTTCAACACCTCCAACGATAACCATAACACTAAACATATATATTTCGGAGCGCTATATATAGGTAATGTGATCCACACAAATTAATCTATGGTGTGGGGACAGATATCATGATGCAAAAACCCTAACCCTAACCCTAACCCTAACTCTAATCCTGACCCTAACCCTAATCCTAACACTATCCTAACACTAGTGCTGCCACGTTGCGGTAACCTCCCTCCACGCCCGGGGGATAGCATTACCCAATCCTAACACTATCCTAACACTAGTGCTGCCACGTTGCGGTAACCTCCCTCCACGCCCGGGGGATAGCATTTACCCAAAGACATGCGAGTAACACACGATAATATACGCACTATATAAATACTAAAATATAATTATATATATGTATATTGTATATATATGAACATTGAACTGCATGAGCTTATGAGATCAAACTCCATCAGCACAATCAATAATCCTAGTTTTAACGAGTGCGTGTTTCATGCGCCCAACCAAACTGTATGGATATACGAAGATGTATCTACTCCGCTAGTAACCTGATTCAAGAGCCGATTGGACAATGTCTTGCAGGCAGCATTGCGGGCATATAGGCGCAGACAGCAGATGCGTTCTGAGAATGCACGCGGAAAGGTAATCAACGATAAGCAACTACGTTCACAACAACCTTATGTACACATACAACGTCCTCCGATTACAGCCGCATTATTTATTTGTTTATGTTTTAGCTTTAAATTTCTAGTTTTATTTAGGCCTATGTGGAATCCACGAGTTTCTAAATATTGTTCAGCAAAGCCTAAATAGCCAGCTTCATCTAACCAAATCTACGTGTCCCTATAATGACCTTCTAAATGCAAGAAAATATAAACAACGAGGTAACATAAACCACACCGTCAAGTCAGAGAGAGGTTGATATTTGGTTTTTGCATTAAAAGCGAAACGTTAAGGGTATGATTTTACATTCACTTAATAAATCACTTGATGCCTGTAATCTATTTCATGAGTTACGAAGCATCGTGTGAAAACACGGAAAGATATATTGGTAGCAAATAGTCTGTACTTTTAATTTTTGCTCTTCATTCGCTATTCGTGGAGTAAAGACTAAGTAGCAGTATCAACACAATCATGCAATCCTTGTCAGAGTCAAGCTTTTTGCTAGATTTCGAGATACGCAACTAAATGTCTTCGAACTGAAGAAAACGAGTGATAATAACATAATGAATTAGTGAATAACAGCTATATGACCAATGCACCACGCGTCAAATGACACATGAGTTATATAGAAGAACTGAATAGATTACTGAACTACACAGATATACCTAACCAAATGCCACATGAAAAATTTGTGTCTTAGACCTGAATGAATGACTGATTTATAGTAATGCTCCACTACACGTCGATCACAGGTCGCTGGCTTACATCAGGGTCGTAAACACACCGGTTTTTGGAGATTTTAATACACTAATGCAGTACTTATGTATATTAGCATACAATATTCATACTATAACATGGAAACCTTTACATTAATTTGTATGGGGAGGGTGGGGGGAGGGGCGGGTGAAGGGGGCTCTAATAGCAAAAGCAGTTCAGTCCTTTGTTAACAGTCGACAAACCCATGTTTAACCCTCCTCTTGAGGGTCAAAAGGTCATCAGACACTTACTCTTCGCACGTCAGTGGAAAGCACATTTCATGGTCCTTTCAATAAAGCCATAAAAATAGTAGGTCACCGCTGAAACAAAAAAGTTTTTCAATCGCTCCGTCAGACCATATCCTCAGAAAATGTCTAAAATCTGCCCTGTGCCCCATTGACCTGTGACTTCCAATTTCGGCACAGTGATGGCTTTTCCTACCATGATGCTATAGTAATACACCGACTATTACGAGCCTAGGTTGAGCCGTTTAGATTTGTGCCGCAATTCTGCATTTCCTCCCTATACCTTAAGTTAAGGAGGAAATGTTCCCCCTTCTTTTACACCTCTTGACTTTTGACCTTTGACCCCCAGCTTCGACATCCCAAATCGTTTTCGGATTACCCCCCCACGTCCCGAATATCGTGACCGTACGTCGAGCGGTTAAGATTTGTGCCCAACTGTTGACGGACGCACGGATGCACGGACGGACGCTCGCACGGACGGCCGGACGGCCGGACAGACGCACGCTCATGCGATTCTACAAGCTGCATCTGACTATGTTAGATGAGCTAAAATAATGAGGAGAAAAAGAATAAAAGCAAAATAAATAAATTTCAGTTGGCAACGTTCGTTCGCCCGTCATGTCGGGCGATAACGGGGGGGGGGGAGATTTTTTATTGGAGGAGACTTACCTGTCGCCAGCTTTAGCCTCCCTGCTGCAGTGTCTGAGAGCTTCATTTGTTCTCTCTGCTGTGTCAGAGTTGCCATCCTCCCCCTCCTCCTCCTCAGTCGCCCCCGCTGGATGCGAGGCCATGCTCAGTAGGACCGCCTCCGTGCCTCACACCTTAACGACAGACGACCGGGTTCGTGAATGAAACACTCGCCGTGTGATTCTCGCGAGAGCACAACTCGCATTAAAAATTCTGACGTATTGTGTTACAGCGCGTGCGACAATACGTCTGGGATATTATATATATATATATATCAGGGGTTAATAAAGACAAAAATTCAGGACAAAAGGCAGAAATTCGTACAGACACTTATCAGCTAAAATTGCGTGCGTGTAGGAAATGATAGCCAACGAGGTGGGGGAAGACAGGGGAGGAGGACGAGAAAGAAAGAGAGAAAGAATAGAAGAGAGTGAGGAAAGGGAGATGAGGGAGTAGGGACGGAGAAAGGGATGGGGACAGTAATAGATAGGGAGTGAAATGTAGATGGATTCTATAAGCATATTACGGTCATTGTCACATGTCACGGGACAATTTTATAACCTCAACTAAAACCATAACCGCAAACGGAAACGAGCTGAAGCTAAAATCACATGACGCGTACACTAATACTATATTATAACACATCTGAAATGAACAAAGCAATAGGTTCTGCGTATGACAAACAAAAAACCGTCGAGCATTTTACTGCGTTTCTTTAGGAATGCTGTTCCAAAGCAAACGTTTACAAACTCGACTTCGATATCCCATCGGCGACTAATGGTGAGGTGTAGACAGGGTTATCCAAACACGCGTCCACACATACTGGAAACAAGAGCATGTGGCAGCTGGCCTGGCCAATGTTAGGAAAAACATCTATATACCACAACACCTTGGTAACCCGAACGCACACTGGCAACTTCTGGTCCAAGTTTCAGAGCGAAACGGCTTTCTACCAATAAACAATCACGCCAGCAATAATTGTTTCAGTGTTTTTTTCCACGCAAAGGAACTTTTTTACAGTTTCAAATGGAAGCACGCGATCGCAGAGTTGTGGCAGTAACAGGTGCTAGTACAATAGCTACCATCGGCCCCGTGCACGCGCGGTTGTTTCCTAACTAATGTTTGCTAACTATAATCAATGCTCATAATGCGGTTTCCATGTACGCGATTGAACCTAACCGACACCGGCGTTGCATTTTGCGCTACTGGCCACTCAAATCGAACACTTATTTCACCGAGTTTCTTTTTATGTGCCGTCATCCAGATATTTCTATTATTCCTTCGTCGCGCGGGGGCCACCACTTACGTGTTTTTCTTTCTTTCGCGTATTAGCAATCGCACGCGATAGGGTATAGCGGCTCAATCAAGATGTCAAGTGTTTCTAATGCGGGTCGTGCGTGATGGATGATGGGGATCCGATGCTGTTCAACTCGCGAGGCAGATTTCGCGAGTGTTTTACGGGCAATGTGTTTTACCGCGTTCCTAATGAATGGCAATGTGTTTTACCGCGTTCCTAATGAATGGCAATGTGTTTTACCGCGTTACTAAATGAATGGCGTATATACACGCAGCGCCGTGACTCACAGACGACAGCTCGGGTCTTGAGTACGAGAGTACATGACACGTACGACCGTAGGTGGGCGCGATACGTAAACCTACAACCTACTACGCGAACTAGATGTATACATGCGTACGCGCGCGCGCGCGTGCGTGCGTGCGTAAGTTCGTGCGTTCGCACGCGTGTATGCATGTTGTGTTCACGTGTTCGAACGAATTCATACAAACGAACGAACGTGCGTACGCGCATGCGTGCTTTCATATGTTCTAGTATGAGTGTGTGCATAGTTCGCGTAAACGTTCACTAGGCGATAAAAATCACGGTATATACCGTTAG